AATTAAACCCGGTTATCAAACAAAACTCTTTCGGGCCATAAACTATTTTCGTATCCCCCACTCTAAAATATACCGTTTAATGTCATATGGGGATAAAACGGTGTCCGACCGTATTTGATGAAGAAACATTTTATGGAACAACAATTTGTCAAATTGTAAATGATGGACGTCTTACAGCTAACCAAATACAGTTTGTCTAAAACCATCGCGTCGTGTACCATGTAGCACCTCCAATACTTCCCAAATATTACACGCCGATCCTTTTAAGTTGACAATAGCTTTAACATTAAAAAATTTATAATCAAGCTGAAAAAACAACAAAAAAATTAAAAAACTTAACAACTATTTTCTTTAAAATATCGAGATATTTAATGGAATAAATAAATAATCTAACATTCAAATTACAAACATAAACAATTTATTAAACAACATTCAAACAATAATTTCAATATTTTTCTTGAAAAACAAAAACATATTATAACCAGTTTTCAACTTAACGACAAGTAAAATATCGGGATATTAAACAAACGAAAAGTAAAAATCAAGAACATATTGTATCCATTTTATTTAATGTACAACAACTCAATGCACATTTTACGCAGTTACATTAATACAAACACTAATTAAAAACATATTGTAACCATTTTTCAACATAAATGACAAATAAACAAACGACAAGTAAAAAAACACATATTGTAGGCATTTTACTAAATGTACAACAACCAAATACACATTTTACGCAATTTATATTTGTTCATTCATACAACCACTAACCAAATAGCATCAAAACTTTAAGCCTACTAATAAATAATATTCTATCTATCAAATACAACATAATTACCAAATAACACACAACATAATTTCATTTTTTTTACAAAATCTAATAGAATAAATCATAAATAAAAAAACATACACTAGATAAATGTTGATTAAAACATAAAATGAATTAAGATCTTACCATATTTGCGGGATTGTTGTAAAATTATCCATCTTGTTGAAAAAATCGTCAAAGGAAACGAGAGAGAGAGAGAGAGAGAGTTTCTTCAAGTTAGAAAGTGAAAAACGAAGAAAAAAAACGTTTTTATACAAAAAGGCACACAAAATCGCAGATGGAACAGCTAAATCGCAAATGGACTGACAAAATCGCAGATGATTTCATTCCATCTACGATTTTAAGGGCTAAATTCGTAATTTCGGCTTTTTTGGCTATTTTCCACAAAGAAATTAATATATTAGGTTAAATTTGTAATTTTCTCTTATTATTATTATTATTATTATTATTATTATTATTATTATTATTCCTAGAGGCAACTTATATCAACCATACGATTATCCATATAAATTTTCCTAGAATGAGAGAGAAGATAGATTATTGACATCTGATCATCCCTACAATTTATGTCAAGCATATGATCATCTATATGGATGATCATATATGGTTGACATAAGTTGCAATCTCATATGGTTGATATTAACACATAAAAAATTAATCTTTGGCATAACCAAATATTTTGTGTAAAATCCAACGTTTTTATGGCAAAAACTCTTTTACTTGTACTTGACAAAAATACGTGATAGTAACAGCTCTACCCTGTTGGGACCAAAATACAACTTATGTCAACCATATGATCATCCATGTAAACTTTTCAAATTAGGATCAAAGCTACAAATTTGTGCTAAACAGAGGGACTAAAACTGTAGCTTACTCTATAAACTTTAAACAAGTACTGGTTTTTGGGTTTCATTTAATTGGCCTCAAAAACTCACCATTCATAAACACACAGACACTGTTGATGATGCAGGGAAGCAGGAAGGTCAAACCGAAGACTGCCATGCAAAATGATTTTGTACCTCACTTTTGTCGTTTCTTCTATTAAACTTTTTAACTCACCAAAATAAATAAACTTTAATTTCATATATCTATTTATGTTTTAGTTTCGTTGCTTATGAAATTTCTAATTTTGGGATCATGTAAAAAACGGTCGACGTTTTTTCAATGATTTAAAAAAAAAAGTTATATAAATTATTAATATATGAAATATGAAAATAAAACTATCTATTCGAGTACTAGTTTTAGTATTTATGACGATTTGATTTGTTTTCGTTGGAAATTTTTTGTATTTTTCCACCAAGTGTTGATGTCATTAACAGTTCAAGAAATTAAGCCAACGTTGTGAAAGTTAGTAAACTTTGAAATTTTGTATTTCCAAGACAAAAGGTAGTTGGGATTTTTAATAATGTCAATAATTAACAAGAATGGCTAAATAACTACCTCTATTTGCTAGAAACACAATCTATATTAAAAAAAAAAAAGATATTGCTAAATTAACATATCTTATGAACATTGGGTGTTGTTAATAAAACACCCCTTAGACACCTTATAATCATTTTTATAAAAAATCAACCTATAATCAACTTCTGATAATCATCTTTTTCGGAAAACAATGCAATTTCAACCAATAAAAATATTTCAAACATTAATTAGGATTGTCTAAATGGTAAAATAGGGTGTTTTATTAGCCAACCCCTTAATTAAAAATCAAACGTATAATAAATTATTTATAATTTACTTTTTCAAAAATCAATGTAAATTCAATCAATAAAAAACAGGTATCTTTTTTTTTTTGGAAAGGGTTAAACAATTTTATATAAGAGGGCAACCACTAGCAAGAAACTAAAGAAAACCAACAAAAGAGAGTAGAGTGCAATTTAAAAGTAAAAAAAGACTTAAAGAAAGTTACAAGCAAGCATATGGTGATATGCACCAATCACACCATCTAATAACCCCCAATAAAGGAACACCAGTGCTTGTATATCATCCATTATTTTGGTAATAAGATGTTTTTATACTAATAACCAAAATAAAGACTATCTGTACAATCAAGACACTAAGTCAATTTTTTGTTTTTCTTTAATTCATGTGTCCTTCCTTTTATTTTTATTTTCTTTACTTTTATTTATATTTTCCGTTTCATTTTATACTTGAATATCAATATTTTTTACAGTATATATTTTGTCACGTTGTTTTAGCAATCAATAATAAAATGTTTTATTTGCAATAAGGTATAATTTATCTTGATTTATTATAATAAAATAATATATAGGCATACTTTTCTATGTAATAAGAATAATAAATTAAGAAACCTAAAATAATTTAAAATAACTAGTTAATATATATATATATATATATATATATATATATAATTAAATATAAATGATTAATTATTTATTTTTAATTAATATAGATTAATAACATATATATTTGTATATTATTTAATAATTAAATATAAATGAATACATAAAAACAAAAATATGATGCAAAAAACAAATTTTGACATGGTTGAAAAGCTATGCCTTCTAGGAGCTTGATTGATAGAATCAATTTGTTTTTGTTTTTGTTTTTGTTTCTTCATTCTTGGTCGTCCACGTGTATTTTTTTGAATTACGGGTTCTTTAATATGTGTTTTACTTGGCTGGAATATATCTAGTAGCTTTCTCATCATGCATTTTTTCACAGCTTCCGATTGCTTATTGTAGGTTTCTTTAAACACTTCAAATTTACCATCACCACATATATATCCTCATTTTCAATAGGAATTGACGGTGAAATTTTAAGCTTTCTCCAGAATACATCTATCGATTCCCAATGGAATACACTTACATGCATTGAAATTTTATTAATATATAAACAATCAATATATAACTTAAATTTAAAAAATAATTGTCAAATGTACCCACCGGAGTTCAAGTATGCTAATAGCATAAAAACAAATGGTAAGCTACAACTATTTTGTACTTTAAAACAACAGTTTGAAGAGTCAACTTGATATACCTATTGAAGTTCCTTTATAAGCATATCGAGAGCTTTAAGTGAAACATTATCCCACAATAAGTCGAAACACGGAAATTTTTGTTCGTGTTTGGACACCATCATGCTCTTTTCAAAACTCTCATTTATCGCAGTGAGTTGAGACTTCACAAACCGATCAATAGCACCAACAAATTTAGCTAAAGAATAATTTTTTTTGTAAGTACTTCTTTAACGCTGAATGTTGGCCCTCAACTCTACTGCTGGTTCGTTGTCCAAAGTTCAAATGTTGATCAATCCAAACAGAGACAAACATTTCTTTATACTTGTTTAACCAAACATCATCCAAATACTATAAAACATCTGGAATTATATAAATGTTATTATGTATAAAAAAACGTTCTAAATTTATAAACAAGTAATTACCAAATTAGAAGAATTGTACCTTCATGTTCTCTTAACATTGACTGCAGTTTTCTGTAGTTTTCGGTGTACGATGTCCATGTTGGAGACTCAACAAGTATACTCCACATAGCACGAAAGGATGTCCACTCAGCTTTCAATGAGATTAGCGTCTTACAATGCTTTCTAATATTTTCGGTAATGTGTCATCGACAAAGTAAGTGTGTTGCATAAGGGAAAACTTGTTGGCATGCATTCACCAATATCAACTCTCTATCCGTCACTATAACGCATGGTTGCATGCACTTTTCTAGTGTCAACCTTAGACATGTTAACACCCATAACTTTCCTCATTTTCGTTAATGATAAAGGCAAAAGCAATGCGAACTATCTAGTTGGTTGAAGTTAGTCCAACAATCTGAATAAAAGGCATAACATATTTGTTTGTTTTGTATGTTACATCAATAATCAAAACGTGTGAAAATGTGAAAATACTTACCAGTGAATGAATGAAAACCAGGTTTTCCAATTCATTTGAAATATTATTTATGGCATGGCATAGGTTGTTTTTTTACAAAAAATAATTTGACTTTTCAAAATGTGATGTATATGGATTGTTTATTTAGCACTACCTATTCAGAGTACTAATTTTAGTTCGTTGACCAGTGTTAATTAAATTTTGTGACAACGACATCTTTTATGCATCAACATTTAATGTTCATGCATGCAATACGAATTAAAACCTCTATAAAAGCATCGTTTTTCATCCCCAAAAACATTGCGTGCAAAAATGTCATCTTTTTCAGCTAAAGTTCTCTATTTTTTGATCACCGGTGCTCTTCTTTCCGCAGTCTCAACCAGGAAGCTAGCGGTGATTCCAGCAACGGAGGTGGAAGAAAATGCTTTATCTGGAAGCTTTGGTATCGGAGCTGGAGCCAACATGGGTCGTGGTGGCCTTCTAGGAGGAGCAATTCCTGGGATGAATACGGGTGTCGCCGGTGGAATCGGTGGTAGTTTCGGACCTGGTGTTGGAATTCCGGGAGGCGGACTTGGTGGCCCCGGCGGCGGATCCGGGGGTCTTGGTCAAGGATTTGGTGGCGGTGGAGTGTTTGGAGGTGGTGGGTCGAATGGTGGTCAGGGTTTCGGAAGTGGAGGTGTAGCTGGTAGCAGTGGTGGTATAGGCGGAGATCAAGGTTTTGGTGGTGGTGGGCTTGGCCGGAGCATTGGACTTGGTGGTGGAATTGGAACAGGTAACACCGGATTGGGTAACGCGGGAATTGGTGCGGGGATTGGTGCCGGTATTGGTGGCGGTGGTCTAGGTGGGATTGGCAGCGGTGGTGTTGGTGGAGGAGGTATGGATGGGCAGCCGTAAGCATGTGTCCGGCGTGTTTTGCAAGCATAGGGATTTTGTGTTTTAATGGATGTTATCAGCTTAATTAAGGAGCTAAATTTGTGATAAATAAGAATTTTTCCATGCATGCGTATGCTGCAGTGATGCAGATCGATGCAGTTTTCATATTATAATTTATTTGGGTAAAATTTAATGCATGCAGCCATCCAGGATACAAAGGCGAACAAATCAAGCCGAGTAATTCTAGCTCGATTAATAAGATTTTATCATTTTATTGAGTTTGATAGAAATAACGAATTGCCTACATTCATCCAAATACCATTTTTATTTATTTACGAAAAATTGGTAATAAAAATATAAAATTTATATATGCCTAAAAGTTACTGATCAGTGATAGAACTAAAGAGGAGCTCAGTTCTAGAACTAGATCAACTAGATGCGGAACCGAAAAATAAAGAACCGAATTTATAGATATAAAGTAACCGGAAACCAATTCAAATTGCGTATGTGGTTCCAAATCGGTTCGACTACAACGATTATTTTGCTCAACGCCCCCAAAGTCCCAAACACTCAAACCATCAAACGAGCGTACGTTAATAACTTTTTTGGTGGTTTAACTGTTTAAGCATCACAATAATATCTTTCTCATTATCATTGATGCTTTTATTTGTGTTAAACACTATGTAAAACTTTGAATCCCTAACAAAAATAAATTCAGTTGAAATTTGTTCGGTTTAACTTGCAAAATAATTTATTTTTTTTGCAATAATTTAGTAGGATGGAGGATATGTTTTCCTCGGTTCCATTTGTTGTATTAGCTCCACGTTTTTTTTAGAAAATGCAAATATCATTAAAGAAAACGCATAGCAAGAAGCTACAACAACCCAAAAGTCAAAAATACAAACAAAAACAGAGCAATGGAACAAGAAAAACAAAACAAAAGAAAAAAATAAACATGATTAAGATGAGAGATGAGTGAAAGGCAATATACTCCACTCGATCCAATTCCCACAACCAAGTCCACCTCTATGCTTGCACCAAACATACGAGAGAGATCATATTGTCTGCAATTTTCGTCGGATGCACTCCAATTCCCTTGAAGATCTTATCATTCCTGATTTGCCATAAATTCCAGATGTTCGAAAATCTGGATCTTCAAATTGATACTCTACTGTTTTCGTAATATTTTCGAAGTGATGATTTCCAAAGATAGCTTTTTCGAAGTCCTTTATTTATTTAAGGTGATATCCTTTTCACAATATTGTTCATAGCTTCGAAAATTTCCCTTTGAAAATCTATGAAAAAATCCTTTAAAACATGTTCGAAAATCATTATACAAATCTTTAATTTGATGAAGTTCCTTCTTCAAAATCTTTTTGCAAAAAGATGTACATTATTCTTTCTTCGAAAACCATAGACTATTTTCAAATTCTCTTATGACTTTTAACTAATCTTAATTTCTTTGGGGGGACAAAAAATCCATGTGTGTGCGCTCTAAGAAATTACAAAAACAAGAAAAATGGAGCCAACGAATCAGACATTCATGTATATGACATGGTGCCTTTTAGGCTCAGGGAATGTTGCCTATAATTGGAGTTAAAGGCCTTGGTGGATTTTGTTGCCAAGATTCATCGCCAATATTGCGTGAGAACTGTTTTTTTGGTAATAAAACGTCCCATATGAAGGATCTAGTAAAAGTAGGATCTAGAAGGATGTAGATAGGATCCCTAGGGAGATATACAACATTAATGTTTTTCTATCTCTTGTTTTGACAATCTTCTAAGTGAAAGTACCAATAAACTTTCACGTGTGGATACTCAAAAAAGAGATAAAAATTCATTACTAGTCTTTTGTTTCACAATAATTGGGTTGTATCGGGTTCATGTCGAGTTTAAATATTAAACGTGTTGAGAGAGCTTGACTATAAATTGTTGTTTAATAACATAGCGTGGTGTGTCGACTCGTTAATTTTTATGTCGAGTTAGATGATAAGTTTTAGGTACATAAATTGCACCATTTTACATATTCATTTCATGTTTATTTATAGCATTGCATTGTATTTTTGTGTAATTTTACAAGTATTTTGTATTTTCGAGACAAATCAAGGATCTATCTACTTTTCACGGTTTTGTGGATGTTTCTAGATGATATGAAGATTGGAGCATGCTTAGGATGTTCGAGGGAGCTCTCATTAAAGTTTCGAAATTTTTGGAGCTAAATTGAATAGTTTGGAAAATCAAAAAATGGACATTAACCAGGTTAAAACACGAACCACGCTTTGGTACTCTCGTTGTTACGTGGAAAAGGTAGGAGTTGTAAATGTGTCATGTCATTGATCAGGTTAAATTGAATAATTTTTACACGAGTTGTTACATGTAATGTAAGGCATGTCATTACATGGGTTGTGTAACATGATCTGGTAGTTATCTTAGATTTGCAACTTACGATTAAAAGGAGATTTCTTGTTATTTTTTTGGGGTCTTCGACCAAGGACTTGGAAGGGGCGATTTTGAAAGATCATATCATCATTTAGCACTTTGGAAACATTTTTTCTTTGATTTTGTAAGTTCGTTTTAAGATTAAATCTTGTTGAATTTGTATTCTAAGTTAGTCATGTGTGGCTAACTTTTCTCATCATTTCCGGTTATAGATCCTTAATTACTAGTTGTTTAGATTGTGATATGTACTAGACTCTATGTTTCTATCATTCTTGTTAGTTAGTAATCTTTGATTTGGTTTTCATTATATTTGATTTGCACTCTTTTCACTTGATAAATGAAATTAGGGTTCATATCATTTTTGTTAGTCAAATTATGAAATTCGTAAATGTTTTGTTATTTGATGTTGGTGACAGTTTGGTTTCAAATGAATCAAAGTGAGTGAAGTCAAAGAATAGATGTTTTTACATTCCCAATCATATGAGGAATATTGAATATTATAGGTATTAATTGCATGGATTTAAAGTCATTAGTAAGATTTAATCCAATAGCATATTTGTATTAAATCAACTAGATGAAGTTTTACTTAAGAATCATGTTTTGAGTAAAATATTTTTGTCAATTTGGATATTAGATATTAGAGCTTATTAATATCTTGATTATCAATCTAGACTGAATATGAATTATTGTCATATTACACCTTACAACATAGTACTTGAATAGAAATCAAAATCATAAAGTCTTTTAAATTCTGAATTGTAATTTTTAATTTATCTATTGATGAAGTTAAACTTGATGTCAACAAAACTCCTCCGTTTTAACAAATAATATTGAGTTGTGTGACAATATGTTTAAACAATAAGTCTCGTATCTCAGTGGTTCAACCCTGTTTATTCTATATTATCTCTTAATATATTGTAGCAGTGACTTGTTCTAAATTGTTATTATTTTATTCCTTTATTGTTGGTTTGACACTCAAACAGTAAGGATATAGACCTTGTAAATTTGTCGTATCATTTTGGGTTAAAACACTACATAAGTGGAAAAGGTAGGAGTTGGAAGGTGTAGGGAGACATCATGAGGAGGAGTGGCCGACCAAAACTTTACAAAGTGACTCAACCGAAGTACTTTTTCTTTTTATATCTCGTTTTGGATTTGGATCTTTCTTATTTATCAAAAAAAGAAACTTGCATATAAATTAAGTCTTATCCAAACCTTAATCATTTAATAAAATGGGTTGAAAACTCTTACTAAAACCAGTTAATTTCATATCGGATTTGTGTTGATTAAGTGTTAGTTTTTGTCACCTCTAATGTTGGGAAGTAATCTTTCACTAAAGAGGTTGTTGAACAAGATATATAATTTCATTTCTAGTTTTTTTGGCGCGTAATAATCCATTATCTAAGAAATATGTTACAGAAGAAATTTGGTTATAAATAAAAGTGTTTTATTATGTAAAATAGGATTTTATGATGGTTGTATTTCCATTAGTTGACTTTGTTTGAAAAGAATAATAACTTATAAATGGAATATTATAAATAAGAACTCCTAGAAAGCATCTTAAATTATTAATTTAACTAATGTGTACATACCACAAATCGAAAGGAATATAAATTGTTTCTTACTGTGATTTTCGTAACAACATTTTTCTAAAAATCTATGAATATATAACTACTTCTTAGACGATGACAATCTGTGTAAAAATTTAGTCTCCAACACATTTTCGTCTAAATTGCCATCGAACCAAGAAGTGGATATAAATTTCCTAAATTGTTGTTATTGTTGTTATATCCCTACTATCTGCCTAAACCCAACCATATTTTACTACTAAGAATTAAGTCAAAAAGCTTGATCTCTAACAACTTAATCATTTAGACTTGTTAATGTCGTTTAAGAATCTGGCATTATAGATCATTATTCAAGCATTGTGGACCACATGTTGTGTGTCATTGGCCTACTAGAGATTCATAGATCTCTTCTAGCAGGAGGATTTTCTTATTTTGATAATCTCTTTGCGAATGAATGTGAATGGTGTTTATTTGTACGCCCCAACACATCTCATTAAGAAGGCTCTTATGTTACATACAGTTGTACACTAATAATGTATTGAATCACAAAAATATACCCTTAAATAGACAGAAGATGTAAAATTAAATGGACTAAATGGAGAGATATTTTGAAATTTTTATAAATTTTCAAACCACCTTTTCACAAAAAGTCTACTTCGTGAATAATAACTAGGTTCAAAATTAATAGAAAATCAAATTTCAAAATTACTTTTAGTTAGGAATAATTTTTTGTTAATCAAGGTGGCACGGATTCAAACATTATAATAAAATTGTTTTCGAAATAATTTCACATCAGAAAATCATATTTAAAAAATCAAAGACTTCAACATATTTATGTCAGAATTCAAAAAATTTGATTTTCAAAGCACCTTTATGTCAGAATTTATTTTTTAAAATGGTCTTTTCGAAGATTATGGTCATATGATGATAATTTCATAAAATATGATTATTACGTGTGGCACCATTTTTTTTGTTCACTCCTCAAGAAAAAAAACTTGTGGTTAAAATAAAACAAATATGAGAGTTTAATCGTGAAGGTACAAAATGGACGCAAGAGGTTTATGGTTTAAATTTGGCATTTCGATAAAATTCTAGTGTTATGCAATTTATCCTATGTGATATGCCATGTAATAAATACAATGAAATACTATTTGTCCTGATTAGTGTTTAATTTTTCAGAATAGGTTAAGAATTCAAACATTGACACGTCAAAGATATTTCTGGTGTTCTAAGTAGGTTCAAGATTCAAATATTAACACACCAAAAATATTACTAGTATTTTACATTCTACAATATACCCCGAAGTAATTCGAGATTATGACGATTTGACATAGTTCTCTGAAATCGTAACCATTATATAAAGTTTGGATGAAACCAGTGGTTGATTTATTTCTAAAAAATAAGTGAAGGAGAAAGAAATACTAAGTAGTAGTTATTTTGTAATGTTACTTCATTGGCTCATTGCAATTAATACTTAATTAGAGAAGCCTAAAATCTGAATTCAAGCTCGATACAGTTAAAGCCTACGTCTATTAGAACTTTCTTTTCAACCTCTGGATCTATACGTAAGAAGTTATCTCAAATTCCCTTTAGATGTTGGACATTTTTTACTTTAGTTTTGATAAATCTTTGGAAGCTATCAAGATTATTTTAACAATCACAATTTCAAACAATATCACAAAGGTACAGGAAGAATGAACAAGGTACAACAAAAGTTACAAAAATATCATACAAAACATAATAAAGAAACCATTGGCCCGCAAAGAAAATAAGTTGCAATATTTATGGTACAGTAAAGGATCCATGATACTGAATTGGAAAGTTTGATATAAATTATTGTTGGCCAGGTGTTGGTTGACACATGGCTCGGCTACATCCTAACTTCAATCCCTTGCTTTAACAAGTGCTCTTTTACCGATTCAATCGGAACCTGAAAACAAATAACAAATGAAAAATATTAATATAGAATATATATTCTGTAAAAGACTAGTGCAATACCTCTTTCCTGTGAAAAATGCCTGCAGCAAGAGCTGCAGAAGCATTTGTCTTTTCAAAAACCTCTGAGAAATGCTGAGCAGTTCCTGCACCACTACTTGCAATCACTGGAATGCTCACAGCATCCGAGATTAGTTTTATCAGATCGATATCAAATCCTTTTCCCTGACCTGAAATTTTTTTATTAAAGAAACTCAAACGTTCAGTTTTTCAAAAAAATAAATAAATAAATATCGAGTAGTTACCATCACAGTCGATACAGTTGAGCAAAATTTCACCAGCTCCCAACTCTTCAACAGCTTTGGCAAGCTCGTATGCTCCAATTGGACGACCCTCTCGTCCACCATTCACCTGTTAATTAATAAATAAAAATAATATATATATATATATTTATTTTTTTGGTAAAAATGAACAAGTATTACTATTTGGTGCATGCAGTTAAAAGTAACAACACTTACAGTGCACTGATACCAGGCATACTCTTCCCCATTTGGGCCTAACAAAACCAAATATTTATATATTCAAAATTATTAACATAAAATATACTGTATAATTTCCTGTTACTCACCCAAGTTTTCTAGTTTAACAGCCTTGAATCCAACCTCATCTTCACTTGTCAAATACTGTCTACGTGGATCAATGCTTACAACCACCGCCTTTACAATTAACATAACATATTTACATGTGTTTCTTTTCTTTGTATATAATAGACTCAGTATTTACTCTTTTTGATTGTCGTATCACCTACCTGATTCCCATAGACTCTGGAAATCTGTTCTAAGCTGCTCTTTCCCGTTTTTACCTAACAAAAACACAAGCACATGAATTATGTAAAATAAAATATAAAGGATGAAAGTTAGTTGCCTACTCCTGTTTTTAGATACTCTTCTGCAGCATAAACAGCATCACTCCCGATAGATATCTTATCTGCACCAGATCTGAAATATTCTGAAGCAACCTCCAAACTAGAATAGTACCTATATATAGTAATAAACAGTTATTAAATTAATTATTAACCTCGTATTTATATAAGCACAGTTAACAGTACCTTCCATTTCCATCAGTGAAATCTCTGATACCACCACCAACTGTAAGTGGTACAAAAACATTCTCCGATGTGTATTTCAATATCTATGAATTACAATTACAATTACAATTAAATAAATATTCTTATATTATTATTATTATTATTACGATAAGGTTAATCTCTTTGTAAGTCAAAAGTCAAAACACATACCTGCAACATTGGCAAATCTCCAAGAGGGAAATCTCGAAAACCGGTAATATTTAAAAAGCTAACCTGCAACGTGTGTGTTAATGTTACTATCTCTTAGAATCCACAAATAATCAAAACTCAGTAATGGAATGGGTCATTCCATTCCATCCAATCAAAAAAAACAGAGCCCAATATGTAATATGTAATATGTAAATATGTAAGAAAGAGACAGTAAGTACCTCATCAGCCCCGTCTAGGTAATATTGTCCAGCAAGTTCAACTGGCTTACCCAGGTTTCTCACCTATACAACATAACAAATACCACTCTAAATTATTCTGCTTACAAAAACATAATATATCTTCAACCCATCTTTCATAAAAATATTATTTTGTTAAATGCTGTTTCCATCTCTACTTATCTATGATTCTTGTATTATTATATAATATCATCATCAAATTACCTCGTTATCTTTTGTCTGCTCTCTCACATCATACTGATCTCCTTTAGTCACAACAAGATCACCATTATCATTTGTTCTCACATCAAGACAAGCAATTACCTGAAACTCATTACAATTGTGCCAACCATTACTTCAAATATCATCAACATTTACTATAACAACAAAAGCATTACAATTCCACAACTCACCCTCTTTGCAAGCTTTGTAGCCTTCCTTTCCAATGGCTTCTGTCTTCACATTAGGGCATTACATTGTTATATATACACATATATATATCAAATTCAATATTCAAAAGCTCAAAGGTAACCTTAGCAATAGAAGAATTGGGTAACAAGAACTTCCGTAATATCGAAAGACCAACATCTGATAATTTTTTTAATGATTAAAAATAAACGTCATAAAAAGTAAAAACCACCCTAAAAATAAAACAATTTATATGGAACTTACCTCCACTTTTTTCCGGGTGAAATTGAACTGCATGCACATTTCCCCTCCTAACAGATGATATGAAGTCAATTCCATAGTTGCAGGTGGATGAAACCCACTCTTTATTTTCTTCAGACTGTTGTGTATAAAACCAGGGTCAGGGGTATAATTGGTATTTGGTGAAGAAACAAAAAAAGCAGGATAAACAAGACAAGGAAACATACGGGTACAGCACGATAAGAATGAACAAAATATACATGGCGGTTTGCAATATCATCTAAAATAACTGAATCTTTTTTGATTTGCAAAGCATTCCAGCCAATATGAGGCACTCTACAACCATTCAAAGAATCAAAACGTCCAACCACCCCAGGAATCAAACCAAGACCTCTCACTGAAAACACCAAACAATAATAAATCATTGATTCAAGACAAATATTCAGTCATTTAATAGAACAGAGTTGCAACCAACTACTCACCTGGCCCGTTTTCTTCACTTGACTCAAAGAGTAGCTGCAGACCAAGACAAATCCCTAAAAATGGGCGATCATTCTCTATGTAAGTGCAGAGTGCTTCAGCCATCCTAAAACAATCAAAATGGATTTTGTTTGTTAATGGATGAAAAAACATTGTAAATATGATGTAAAAGTTACCCGTTGTTGTTTAAGACGTCCATCATTGCAGCAAATGCTCCAACACCAGGAACAATAAGGCGCTTTGCATTCAGAATGTCCTCCGGTGTTTCAACCTGGACAATAATGTATTACAATATATGGCGTTGTTGTTATACACCCAAATTTCATATTCACCATATGAATCGGAATTCGGAAATGCCGTTGTAGAAAATAGACCGAAAGAAGCTCAGAAGAACTTACATCTTTGATATCGAGACCGAGATACCGGATTGCATTTCTGATACTTTGAACATTACCGGCACCATAATCAAGGAGAGTCACGGCTGCACATGCAAGTTAGCAAATAGTATTAAAAATAGAATCGATATGTGCAGAAGTTGACGGAAGACTAATAAAATGGAGAGAGCGTATAGAGAACCAGAATCGTCGCCTCCAACAGCAGAAGCGCGGACAGAGAATTTCGGTGGAGATTTGAAAGTGATGCTATTTCTATGCAATTTAAGCAGCAAACTCCTCCGTGAAACCATTGAACCAGAAATGTTGGTGAACTGCGAAGAACCGAACGTCGCCGCCTCCATTTTTCCCCTTCCAATGCACGGTTGTTACTCAGCTTCTCAGCCCCTGCTTCAATTCAATTCAAGTCAGGAACCTACCTAAAACCGAGCACACACTGGCGGCCCTTTCAAATTTATGGGCCAAGATTTTCTGTACCCGGTATGTTAATCCAATGTGAGAATGTAGTACGATGACCACTTTTGGGCTGAAAATTGTTGTTAAAATTTATGTAATAGTAAATTAGTAATGTATCTACAAAACTATCTTTTATGGTATGTATATATTTTTTTTAGTTTTAGTCCGAACTATAGTTCATAGTTTTTTGGATTGATGGTTCTTTTGAGGTAGTTTGTTTGTGATTTTGGTCATTCGCTAAATTGAAAAGACTAAAATACTCTTTTTATAATTTTTTATGTTTTTTCTATTTAATTTAAAGTTTTATTAATAAAAAATATGGGACCTCTCTCTCTCTCTCTCTCTCTCTCTCTCTCTCTCTCTCTCTCTCTCTCTCTCTGAAAATAAGAAACAACCATCGTTGTCGATGTGTGCCATCTCACCGGAGTTCACTTCCGTCAACCTTTGTAGACAAGATCCACACCAAATGACTCCCCTCATTCCTAACATAAAACCTCCAAAGACAACCACCCAAAACCTCCCCGGAAAACAGGTCCGACAGCCACCTCCAACCACCTACCATTGTGCTCAATTGTTCATCACCATTGCTTTTTTCCGAGGGACAGCACCACCATCACTAGTTCGACCACCACCAAGGAAGAGAATAGAAGGGAAAGAACTGACCACCGTCAACAACCAATGTTCGCCATGTTGGACAATTTGTCTAAGCACATAACTATAATTGGTATGTACTTGATCCGATACACTGATACAGCATGGTTCATTTGGGTTGTAACACTCTTGAACAATTTGATAAGATGGATATTTGAGAAATATGTTATTTGTGATTTATTAATATATTATAAGTATAATATATTAATTGAGAAATCATATTATTTAATTAGTATTGATCAATAATTTATTTGGAATTAATTTAGTGATCAAAAGAGACTAATTAAATTAACGGGGACTAATTATGTAAATCAGTGAGAGGTAAGGTTTGGGCTAATGATTCATGGTTAATTTGTAATTGGGCTAAGCTTATGTGAAAGTCCATGAAGTATTAGTCCATATAAGTTATAGATCATAAGCATAAGTGTAAGAATTAGGGTTTGCTTATGACTCTTGGAATTCTACATTATATATGTATTCCTCTAAAGGCAAAACCGTGCACTATGTGTTCTTAGATAATCATAATTGATTTTGAGTCTCCAACTTCTCTCTCAAATTCCTTCTCTTGTTCTTGGTTTGTTATAATACATTTGAGGCATCACACTTGAGGTGCTAGGCTCTTGAAAGACCAATTCCTACAAGCTACAACAAAGATGTAATCTTCTAACTTACTTTTATGATTTATATGTCAAATTGTATGCTAATTGTAGGCTTCAAGCTTTGGAAATTTCTGTTGCGTGTATAACTAGAGAAAACTTAGATCCAAAGTTATTATGGTTGTATGTGCACCATAGAAGTGTTATAGTAGACAAAACTCAACAGTAGTATCAGAGTAATGGGTGTTTTCTGTTATATTGATGCATTATTTAATTGTTCAAAGCAAGATAATTTGTTTTTTTGGAGCCTGCATGATCACCACAACGTGGTCAAAGTTACCACGACGTGGTGACTGTTCAGTGGACGATTTTTTTTAGTTTTTTGGCCAAGTTTTGGATTATAATCATTACCACAAACTGTTTTGACTATTAAAAATTGTTTTTGTGATAAGGTAATGATTTCCATCATCCAAAACTAAAAAAAGATAAATTGTCAAATTTTAAGATAGTTACTAGATTATATGATAAACTAATTATTAGTGTAATTTGATTTGAAATTATCTTACTACAAAAGTTGTATTATGATCAAATTGGTAAAAAATAAAATGGTTGTTTTATTAAGTTTATAATTTGATCTAAATGTTTTAAGGAGTTAAAAATTTTGTCATCAAATTTGGAACTCAAAAGGTTTTTATAAGGAGTTACAAATAAATATTAGTGAAATTGATCTTAATGTTTTTTAAGAGTTTCATAAGTTATGGAACTTAAAAAGTCTCGTCTTCATAAAACAAATTAACTCCTTAAGTTATGAAGTTCAAAAGTTTTTCAAGAATTACCAAACTTGCCATCAAGTTTTAAAAGTTGAAAAGCCTCAATTAAGAAATATTGAATTCATAGAAACCCTAGTAATTTGAAAAGTTTTCAAAAAATGTAACTCGGTTCATAACTTAAAATTAATTAAATAGTTTTAATTTGATTTAGCATCTTGATGTTTTTGAATAGTTCAATTAACTCTTATTGACTTTATTAGTAATTAGTTAAATGTTTAATTAAAAAAGTATTGTAAATATATAATCATATGGTTTAAGTTTAATTAAATTAAGAGTATAATTTATAATAGATTAAACCATCAAGTATATTAAAAGTTTAAAATACACCCTTATACTATATAAAATTAAAAGTCTAATATATTATATATGTATAAGCTAAAAGTCAGTATTACCATTAGTAGGCTTCATTCACGAAGTCGGTCTATAAAGGGTATAAGGTTACTGCCTATAAAATAGTGGTTTAATGGGTGTCCACTCCCACCCCCGCTTACTTGATTGGTGGCGGGTCGTTAGCCAAACGGGTATGATAGGACACAAACATCTATTAAAAGTATAATGAAAATACCAAGTAACTAAACATTTATAAATTCTCATTCTTAGTTACTTAGGAAAAATGCGAATTTGGTGCTAAGCCATTAAATTGCAATTTGCACCTTGCTAAGTCGTTAGTGGAGCATGTGTGGTTAACCGGCACACTAATTTGGGACTATCAAGGGTGGCAATGGGTAGCTTGGTGTTAATCATGGATCAATGGAGCATGTGTGGTTAACCGACACATTGATTAGGTGATATGTAACATCGATAGTACCAAGCTAATTTGCATGGTTATTCACACCTTGTTTGTGATCCTCGACATTCCAATCACAAACTTGAGATGATATAATCGAGATTAAACATGTCATTGAAACGTTCAATGAATCTCAAAGAATCTAGGAATTTCAATTCATCTAAAACCTAATATTCATTTTCGTTTTTCATGGCGGAAATTGGTAAATCATCACTTACCTACCTTCAAATATTTTGCAGTTGGATTATGGCATCCCTCTTCCGAATTGTGAAATATTGTATTGGGTCCTAACCTTAATATTTCATTTTGGGTGTTATATTAGGGACTTAAATCAACTAAACTTGAATTTATCCCTTGTAGATGTCTATTACTAACAACTATGATCATCAATGATTTGGCGCACTGGTAAAGCAAACCTGATTGGAAGATCTACTTCCCAAGTTGCCATAGATATAGGCAATGACATGGATATCCCAGGAATGATTCCTTCTCCTAAAGGAAAGGAATTGGTCATGGTCAGAAGTTTTGATCATAAGATAAAAGCCAGTTCTGAGATAGTTCCGTGTGCAAGTGCCAAATAGTCCACTTGTTTCTACTGCCAAAACGAGGGGCATTGGTTGCGAAGTTGTCGTATCTACCTCAAGGACCACAAATATGGTAAAGTCAAAATGTTTAACTCTGCTTCAGGTAAGTGCACTGTCTAATTCTATTAAGTTCCTATTTATAGATTCTTAATACATGGTCTGGTAAGATTGCATTTTGATGTTTTTTTAGGATTGAAGAAAAGAAAGTAAGCTTAAAGGAAGAGTAAGCAGAGTATGATCACGAAGATATGGATTTCGATCGCATGGTTCGATTATCGGATTTTTAAGCTTCTACAATGCTACTTAGGAGTTATGATAGATTGCTTATAAATATTTAGTAACATAGTTTTCATATGTATTTGCATTGTAAGGACAAGTTTTCCGAAATTTTTTATAAATAAAGAAAAATTTTGATTTTATCTTATTTTATATTTCCTTGCAGTGGCATTTGTCACACCCCAAAACTGGTACGGCGGAAACGTTCTGGGGTGGATGACGTCATATCAAGTATCACAACATGTGCAGTATAGTAATCAAAGTACAACAACCATTGCATTAATAGTAATAGTTTTACATAGTTTACATCTCATGGCAACAACAAAGTAATACAAGAAATAATATAGATGCAGCTCGGTACTAGGCTGCCTCCGCAATTGCTCCCGGGATGTACCTGTCTATCGACGACCTGAGAATACAAGTTATTTTGAAAGCGAGTATCAGCATTTTTATAATGTTGGTGAGTTCATAAGTATTTAGTGTCATTTGTATAAATACACATTTTTATTCAAAATAACTTTATGAAAGTTAGTAGTTTAGAATCTACGGTGTATTAGTGTCCTTTCCAGAAAATCCTATATTTTCTAATTAAAAGAAATCTTCTACCAGGACCTGACGAGTTTATGTTTTAAAGTGAAATTTTCCCCAAAATACAGTATTGACTTTAAAGGAAAAATAAGTAAAACACAAGTAAAAATACTAGGGGAAAATAACATATACTTCTGCAGTAATACTGCTGACTAAAAGCAATTGAAAACATAGACTCCAGGAGTAAGGTTCCATTAGTTGGTGAATTTAAATTTTAATTCATTTAATTCTTCTTCATAATTGGTTATTGGAACTTTAAGTGATTCAAGAATGGATTGTACCTTTTTGATCAAACGATCACAGTCGTTGATCTGCTCACTGACTGGCTTTGCTGCAAAACATTTGTTATTAATCAGATTCGGTTCTTCAATTGTACTTTCGGTTAATGATCCAACAGTGACCATAAAGCACTTCCCAGCCGAACCTCCTTCCTTTGCTACATAAGCCTTTCCATGAGAGGGTTTTCTCACCTCTTCATCTTCAGAGTCGGTTGACCAAACTTATACACCACCAAACTCATCTTCATCAGCATCTTCCTGCACAATTAAAGCATTCATTGTACCTTTTGTTCCGTTAGCTATTTTCTTGTTTTTGATTTCTTCCAGCTTGCGCTTGTAGTACGCCTCATCATCTTCACCATCTCTTTTCTCAGCCATCTTTCTAAGCATGCAATCCTTGGCAAAGTGGTTCTTGCCATGGCAGTAATTGCAGTCATATCTAGAGTCTCCTGCAAGTTTTCTCTCCCTCTTGTCTTCATCCTTTTGAGAAGAGACCTTCGCTTCATCCTTCAACTTTTCAGAGCTATAACTTCCCTGCCAGTTTCGGTTCTTGCTGACCGGAAATTTTCTTCTTGCAAACTTCTTCGGATTGGTGACCATCATAGCATACTCCTCACTTGTAAGGTCACACTCAGACAGATCCGACTCATCTTCTTCTTCTGCAACACCTTTTGCTTTTGAGACAAGAGCCAAAGATCCTACATCAGAAATCACCTTTGCTTCTTTGGTTACAACACTTTCATGGGACTTGAGTATTCCAACCAGTTTCGCTAGCAAGTAAGACTTGAATTGTTCATGCGCTTTTACAGTAGAAACCACAGTCATCCATTCTGGTCTGAGTCCGTTCATGAACGTTACTTTCTGCTCAATCAACTTCCTCTCTATTCCATGATTTTTCATCTTACTTAAGAGATGATTGAATCGATCAAAGGTCTGAATTAGCTTCTCTTCAGGTTTCTGTTCGAAAACTCCAAATTCTGACAGCAACAAGGTTTGAATAGAGTGTTCCATATCTTCATTAGTCGAGTAAAGCTCCTTCAACCTGTGCCAGATTTCTTTAGCCGTCGTGCATGAACTTACCAATCGAAAAGTTTCAGATTGCAAAGCGAATCTTATCATTCTCATGGCCTTCACATTACATAATAGCTTGTCATTTTCATCCTGTGGCATCTTCTGTTCATCAGCAATCAACTTGTTGTATTCCTTTTGCGTCTTGATAGTGTTGTTTGTTCCTGAATGAACAAACGGCCCAAGAGTGATAGCTTCCCATATTAGGTATCCGTTTTCTTCAGATCAAACCACATAGTCTTCAAAGTGATGTGCCCATACTTCGTAGTCTTGAGTGTACAGAATGTGTATCCTGGTTGTAGATCCAATGTTGTTTGAGATGTTGATGGGATTTGTTTGCGAATCTTCGTGAGACATGGTGAGCTTTTAGAATCAAACCTGTAAACTTGAGATTAGGGTTTTATCTAGAACAAAGTTGTCGTCGAAACAAAGAAGACGACTTGTTATTTATACGATAAAAGCGGAAACCCTGACGAATTCTGAATACAGAAGGAATGTGTATTGATCACACAGCCTCCTGCTCTGATACCAATTGTTAGAACATAGTTCTTTCAGGATCGATTGATTCTAAACATGCAAACAAACAAGTACGTAAAGTAAACACAAATATGGCTTGAATACGTCGAATGATTTAATACTTCAAAACCTCAGAAGAGCTCGATTAAGAACTTCGACTGTAGAGGTGTATTAGGGTTACAAAACTCAAGCGTATATATAAAAGAACGTCTTCGCATAATGCATACATGCATGCATATATATAGTCTAACCCTAAGAGATAATCACGGATGGATAGGTCCAATCCGGATATATACAAAATGACCTAAGACGCAACACAATAAGCCCAACAGATTGCTTTGACTTCACCAAGTCCCTCCTACTACACAAGGCCGAAAAGTAGGCGTTCTAGGGTTTGGGACTTAAGGATGTATTTATATGGCTTCACAAGGCCGAAAACACACAAGGATGAGGAAAAGTAGGCGTTCTAGGGTTTCTGAGGTTAAGAGGCTGGTAAGGAGGCTAGGGTTTGGGACTTAAGGATGTATTTATATGGCTTAAACCCTAAAAATTAGGGTTTTGAGTCTGCTCGCGTACGTTGCGCGTACTCCTTGGTACGCCGCGCGTACGCTCATGAACCCCCCACATCCAATGACGCACTACGCCCTGCGTACGCCAAGCTTACGCCCAACGTACATCTTTGGGTAGCCCACTAACGGCCCACTCAATTAAGGCCCAACTCAATAATCCAATCTTAATCTCAAAGTCCGACAATTAATTATAAAGGAATTAAATGATCGTTATCACCTCAAGTCACGGGTGTTACAGATGTGTAAGGTAATTCGAGGCAAAATATATGTTCTTTTAGTTTTCCAATGTGTGTGTGTGTATATATATATATGTATATATATGTGTGTGTGTGTGTGTTTGTCTCTCAAAAAAACTAAAGGTGGCTAGATTTTTTTTATTTTTCTTAGCTTCATAGTTCAACTAACTAGTTAATCTGATTTTGCACAATGCAGATGAGGCATTGTTTGATTGATGTTATAAATATTTTTTGCATCCTTGAGCTTGTTGTGATGTACGTGTAGGTTGTTCATATATGTGAAGCTAGGGAAGGTGAGTGGATGGTTTTTGTATGGGATGGAACTGATGCTCCGCCGGTGATGTCAATGCAAGGTGGTGAAACTCAAACTCAATAATTACGTTTTGTGTTGTGCACATTATCTATAATCTATTAATTAATAAAATAATAGAGTCGTGGTTGGCTAGCTACTGAATTAAAATAAATATTGGATATCTGCAGTCATGTTCCTTTGCAGTTAGAAGCAACTCCTTTATCAAGAGATGTTTTGAGGATGACCGCTGACCCATTCAGTGAGCAGCAGTTGTGTCTTCACACCTTAAAAGCTGTCGGAAGATGTGTTCACTTTAAGAATATAAAATTTGAAGTTCCTTGTGGTTTTTGATGTGGAATTATGCTGCCGGTTTCTAAGTTTAGTTATTTATCTGATGACAATCACCTTGTATTGAAGTACCAAAGGTTGAGTATAATAATTTAAAATTTAGCCTTTTGGACTGAAAATGCATATGCATGTGGAAGGAAGAGATGGAAGAGGGAAATGTATTTTTTTAAAAAAATTACCACTACCAAGCTACTACTGTTTTCCTCTTCAAGATCTTTCTTCCTTTGACTTGCAAGGTTGATTCTACCGCAACCACTATTGGTCAAATTGAATGCCAAATGTTAGGTTGTTTGCTCTCAGATCTTTTCCATTGGATGAAAGAATTTCTCGGCCCTCAACTGGGAATTTAACCCCAATGTTGGTTTATTATTTTTCATCGAAATTGAAATAGAAAAGCTAAAGGGTTGCTTGATAATGCATTCTAGTGGGTTTGACTCGGTTTCGGTCACATGTACATAACCAATGCTCATTGAATCAGACATTCACAAAATTAGATCTGATTCTGTAATGATTATCAAATTGAATCATGTGTTTATGTATGTAATACTATCATTATATAGTATGGAAAGGTAATGAAAAAGATGGTTTCAGTGTTCAGAACCTTAAGGAGTTTGATGGTTGAATAGTATGTGAATGAGAGTCTTGTTGTTTTTCACTGGAAGAGTCGGATGCCTTTAAAGGTAAATTGTTTTGTACGGAGGTTGTTTTTTAATAAAATTATGATGGCATGTAACCTTACAGTTAGAGGGCTCATTCTTCCATGGGTTCTTTACCCTTTCATGCGGATCATTTGAATTTAGATTGCTATATGCAAAAGAGGTTCCGATTTGTTGATTGGCCTCTGGTTAATAAGATGTGTTTGTTGGAATAGACAAGGCTTAGTTCGATAAACTAGATTGAGTGGTCCTGGTTGTATGCTGTAATGTTTTTCTAGTGTCTCACCAGCTTTTTTTAATTATATTCCACCCTTCAAAAAAAGTAATAAAATAAAATAAAGACTTATTTGTTAGTTTCCTTTTATTACCAGGTTAAGTAATAATGTTTTGTGGATAAAGTGTTGAATGCATATAAAGTTTGTCCTTTTTTCTACAAAAAAAAATAAATAAATAAACCGCTTTAATAATACCAAATAACCATTCTACCAAAACAACTTTCTTGACAATATTCATCTATTCTAACAAGACAAGTTTTTGGTTTAACTCGTTAAGTCATTCTATCCAGATTAAGTAAAAAAGAAACGATCATGTATAGTCATCTAAATCAAGTGTTTACCCCATCAAACACATTAAGTGTGGAAAAGAAACAGTCCATTAACTTTTTTTTTAAGTAGTACCAGGAACAAAAATCATGGAGTTACTATCAAATTCAGCATACAAAAAAAGGAGGAATCAAACTCATGAGATGAGACCCTTTGCGGATGCTGTTGAATCAATCAAAGCATGTATTATTATTACAAACTACAAAAAGTATATAACCAAGTAAAAGAAAAAAGCATTGCAGTTGATGGGTGATGTTACCATGGCATTGGCCATAAGTAGTAGTAGTAATGTTTGTCTGTGTCTGTGTGACTGATTCATTTGTAAGTCTGTGAAACCTCGGAAACCAACTTATCCATAAACTGACATTTTTTATCAAATCCCCAACCTGGGTTGCTCTGCAGTGCAAATATATATATATATATATAAATCAAATATGCAGGAATCAACTCAAAACCCTTATTTATCCACACCAAAAAAGCAAGCATAATAGTTGATAAAGCCATAAAGGTAAAAAAAAAGTGAAACCTTGAGAGAGAGAACAGCTCGATCAGTAAATCGCTTGACAGAGGCAGGTGCAGTTGCAGGCAGAGTATTTGCAACTCTCTCAAGCTCCTCCCCTTGTTTTTTAGCAGTCACCCTGTTAGTGTTGGGCCCACTATAGAACTCCACAAGTTCTTTCATTAGAGGCACATTCTTCATCGTCTCTTCCACAACATCCTGAAATAAAAAAATACCACCATTCCACCAAATCACCAATCAGTCAATTACAAACAGAAAAGAAAGACAAAAAAAAAAAACCTCACTTACCTGCCACTCTTTGTTGGTTTGAATATTTTCATAAGCCATTAGGAAGGGCTTCATTTTCTCAAGAGCATCTCGAAGAGGTAAAGGAGGCTTCTCATCAATGTCAGGATTCGAATCAAACTCAGCCATTAAGTATTCTGCTTCACACTCCAACTACAAAATATGTCACCTAATTATGTTACAATATATATATATATATATATATATAACTTTGAGTTGAATGAAAAGGAGTCCATACCAAAAGATTGGTATGCATTGCATCCACATGGGCATCTTCTTCAGGAGAGGGTAACACATTCGCGCTGGCTTCTTCAAATGCTTGAGTCAAAATGTCAAACTTCTCAGGACCAAGATATTTAGCAAGCTTTTCAGCATTCACTTTGTCAAGCTCTGTTTCTTCCTCATCTTCCTCATTCTCATCAAACTCAGACATTCCCCTTCCTCTCCCCCTACCCCTACCCCTACCTCTCCCCCTCCCCCTTCCAGTCCAACCTCCTCGTTGACCTCCCATACCACGACCACCCGCTCCTCTAAACCCTCCACCATCTTCACCGACCACATCACCGCCCCTTGAAAGTATCCCCCTAGCCTTGTTGATCGCCTCCTCTTGACTCATTTTAGGGGAACTTGACCGAGGCTTTACTACTGCTTGTTGTTGTTGTTGTTGTCTGGGTTTGATATGGCGATTTACTTCCTCGCCCTTTTCAGTGCCAACATTTGCTGTTGGTTGGGCGGGCTTTCCACGACCCGCACCGGATAAAACCGACAAAATGCTTGATGGGAGATTAGTCTTAGTCTTCTCTTGGGTTTCTGCTTTTGGAGGTAAAATTACGTCTCCGTCCTTGCGAAAGAATATAGGTCTCTTAGGTTGTGAAGTATCATCAGATTGAGAAGGTGGGACAGGTGTCGTTTGTCCACGACCACGACCAGTGACAGTATTGACACCTGACGCTCCAAAAGAAGAAGATTGAGGTTTGCCCCGACCATGACCATGACCACGACCGAGTGGAGGGGAGAAGGGTTTCTTGTCTTCAGGAGTTGGCGGCTCATTCTTACCAGGAACAGAATCTATGACACCGAACTTGGGGAAATCAGATCCTCGGCCCCGCCCTCTGCCGCCACCATCATTTCCAGCAGATGTACAGAAATCAGATGATGACAGGACAAGGGCTTTTCTGCTCGTGTGTCCGATGACAGGTTGTGAAAGCTTTCCCAAGCTCCGTCTCATGGTTGGCTATATGCAGATCCTAAAACAAGTTTCAAATACACGGATTCAACAATAATTAACCAAAATATCAAGATTCTCACTCTTGATATATGTGTATCTTGTTACAGGCTTCATTAATCTTGTGACTCAGCTATTACCATGTTTTTACATAATAAAATGAACTTAGTACACTTTGTTGGGTATATCATGATGAGCTATCTAATTCTTCTTTAGAACTGTTTTAGTTACAATGGATAAACACCTAAACTTATATTGTGCATTTGCAGTGACTTTCATCTACTTCATTCATGCTTTCTGAATTTATTTATTTACCAGATATTTACCAGTTAGCTCGGATACTTAGATGTTATAAAATGAACATTGCATCTAGAAGCACAAATGATATCTGATTTCAGACAAGATTATCAAACAGCAGATATGAATAATCAATAAGGTTAACATCTGGGTAGAGAGATACAGGTAACGGGGAGGTTACATGTATTAATATGCACTTTAGCTTATTTATTTAACCTGTTAATATGCATAAGGATCGAAATTGCCGCATCTAGCATAAAGCCATTTAGACCACTACATTGCCAATGCAAGACATCAATTTTGAATGAAAAGCACTGAAATTTCGTGTAGAGATAGAATGTTAACGATTTTCGATAATAGGTTTACCAGATAAGCTCTAAAAACTAGAGCGCCACAGCAATTAAAAGCAAAATGATGAAAATACCGTGTCTAAAGATGTATACTTTCATTGGGGCATTTCATCGAACACTTGGTGCTCGTAACATATAAAGGAGGTAAACTCATCAAATGAATCGAGTTGTAGTAAAAGAAATCGATTAACATCATACGTTCATCATCAAACAAGGGTTTATTCTAGGGTTCGGATTCTACTCTATGAACCCCACTGCAGTTTTACATGTAACAGTGTGGTAGTGTTTACGGGGTTTACAATAAAACTCATCAAAAACAACAAAAGCACAACGAAATCAAATAATGCAGCATACCGGAAGCAGAAGTTGACGCCTCAAAATCTTTTCGCTTGAAGTCTCAGATGTCGATCGATTGTTGTAGGGAACGGAAAGTGTCCTCCGGACTGGAAGACTTGTTACGATTTTCAAAGGGTAAATCTTGCCTTATATTTTCAGAATCGAAGGTTTTAGGTTGAATTTTGTATATGAGAACATTTTAATTTTTCTTTTTTACAATATTTTAGATCAATTTATTACGATTTTCAAAGTTTTAAATATTTCAAATATTTAAAACTTTTATATAGATAAAAAAATATCAAAAGAAACCAAGATATTAACTATTGTAATAACTAGGTTAAAACCCGTGGAATCCACGGGTGTTGATTTTGAATTGAATTTAAAAATTAATTATTTAATAAAATAATATTTCATTAATTTTGATAACTTATGAATTATAATTTTTTTATAATATAATTTGTATATTTGTTCATATTGTGTACCAGTGAATTTAATTAAAGATATTAAAGTTAAAATGAGTCGGGCCAGATCCAAAGCTAAAAATGGGTCGGAGTCGGATCCAAGATAACCATACGAACTGTAACTCGTAACGTGTGTTGTATATGCAGAAAGAAATCGGGTGAAGAAAGCAATACTATCCCAACAACTCTCTTTCTCCTTCTACCACTGCAACCCTAAAGTCATTACCTGATGTGAATCACGCGTCATCATCCTCATTTCCAACTTAGGGCTTATTCCATTTCCATTTGTTCTGTCCCCAATTTGAACGAATTTTGAGTACGTCGTGCACGTGCTCCTGTAGTCGAGAAGAAGAAGAGAGAAGGTAGGCCCAATAAGCGATCAGAGCATTTGGTGGGTAATCACGTTAAAACTCGAGCGACATAAGCTAGGGAAGCGGCGGCGGTTAGTGTTGAGCCGAAGCAACAAAAGAAGTTGAGGTTGCCGACTAAGAAGAAGAAAGAGGGTTTAGCAAAATAGTCGGTGGTTGTCATTTCTTAAGCAGAGGAGGATAAAAAGCAAACAGAGGAAACTGGAGAAGAGGCATTCAAAGTAGCAATGGCGGATGTAAGCGGTGGCTAAAGCGCTAACAGGGTTACAGGTCAGGAAGAATAAGGGAATACCGCCCCATTTCATGAAAGGGTATCTTGTCTATTGCTCATTTGATTTTTGTAATGCTTCTTTACTTATAAAATGCATTGATTTTCAGGTTCAAGTAGGTGGATCACCTCAATATAAAGTCGAAAGAAAATTAGGGAAAGGTGGATTTGGTCAGGTATTTGTTTGTCGTCGTGTATCTGGTGGAACTGATCGCATATCAGGTCTTGGTGCTACAGAGGTAATGTTCTTGCATCAAACAATCAAGCTTACATTTTATATAAAATCTGATTTCTGCAATTCATCTTCTTTAATTTTGGTTGTGACGTGTGACAGGTAGCTCTTAAGTTTGAGCATAGAAACAACGAAGGCTGCAGTTATGGTCCTCCATACGACTGGCAAGTTTAAAAGTATGTGCACATTATGTTTTTGTGATTAGTAAACAGATTAAAATTGTTCTTTTTTGAATTTAAAGAAGTGGATTTGTTTTTTCTTGGTGAAACAATACTATGGGTGGGAGTCATGGAGTGCCTAAAGTTCATTATAAAGGAAAACAAATAGATTACTATGTTATGGTATATGCTAATACTTGATGAGTTTTTAGTTTATTTAAATGAATAACTATACTAATATTTCTTTTTCTCTGTTTACATTATAGGTCATGGACATGTTGGGGCCTAGTTTGTGGGATGTTTGGAATTCTTATGGACAAACGTGAGTTCTCCATAAACCTATGAACATCAAATGATAAAAAATGCTAAATTAATTAAAGTAAATTATAACATAGATTAGTATGTTGTTGTTTTGAAAATTTTTTAAACATATACGTAACCAAGATATACTTTTATAGAATGTTAACTGTGTAGATGTAAAATTAGAGAATCATCCTTGAATTTAAAAAATCATAAGATGTTTCTAAAAACATTCCACTTTTACAAATTATAACAAAGATTATTACATAGTACATTGCTATAAAACATAGAATACCAATAAATTGTTAAAATGTTAATTTTTTAAAATAATATTCGATTTTCTCAAATTATAGTTATTTACATTTGAAAGTACATTGAAGTTATTGTTATATAAGTCATACAATCTAATAAAATGGATTTAATGGTCATTAATTTTTTTTTTAAATTAATTTTTTTTACAAAATAAAGAAATGTAATTTTTAAAGTACATTAGTATAAGAGTTACAATTCTATGAAATTGTAAATAAAAAAAATTAAAAGAAAACTAATTACTATGAAATTGTAGAATATACCTTTTCATCTACGAAAATCATTTCAATTGAATGGAAATTGTTAGGATTTGTGTTGTTTTTAAGGGTCCATAACTTTAATATTTTTACCTTGATAGTAAAATCAAGATTGACAGGTCAATTTTTTTTAGAAAAGTAAATTTTGTAGCTATTATATGGGGAATATTTTTATAATTTGTATTAGACATAACATATATTTATAAAAAAAGGTTTTAAAAAGAAAATGTAAAGTACATTGCCAATAAATACAACACAATTATAAACATACAAAAATAAAAGTAAGGGCAAAATGGTCATTTCAATTAAATACTAACATCAATGAATTGTGAAATTCTATAAAGTTAATTAAACATAGTATTTGATACATAAATGATTATGGTCTATCAAAAATTATTTATACCAAATATGATATCCATACTAATATATGCAGTTATAATTTAACACATGCGAATAAATATGAATACCGAATGTCCGGCCTACTTGACTATCTTTATACAAAATTAAAGATTAGAGCAATGTAAATTGAAAGTACAATGCTGTAATTAGGTCCACAGTAACCGCAAAACAAAGAAAACTTAAAAACCAAATAAACAAAACATACTGGAATTGTTAAAGTTTTGGATATGAATCCGACTATTTTTTTTTTACAAACATATCACTTATTTATATCATCGTTATTATAGCAATGTAAATTAAAAGTACAGTGATATAAATAGGTTCACAGTAACAACAAAATATTACAACCTTTTTGTCCTTTATTTAATTTTGGGTACATTTAAATCATTTTTTAGATGAACTTAATTATGAAAAATAAGACTCACGGCTATTAGGTTCCTATGAATAATAAATAAACTTGTAATTACAAATAAGTAAATTTCATGTTTTGAAGGGTATCAACCTATTAGACGTAAGTTGTTAAAGCTTTGGATCTGAATCCGAATATTTTTTTTAACAAAGACATATGTTATTGTTAATCATTTTTTCATGTTGTCATCGTGTTAATAACTGAAGAGGTAGAAGAAGATGATGATTAAGAAGAATAAGAAAAAGAAGAAGAAGATTACTCATAATGTTAAATGTTAAATTAATACTACAAATAAATTTGTAAACACTAACCTGATTTTTGTTTATGGAAGCGTTGCAGAATTAAGAGGGAGGAAAACGATTTTGCAGTAAATTAACCTGGTACCGAAAAGAAGGATTGAAGAAAAACTCAAGAAGAATAACATTTTGAAAGAATTTTATGGAGCAAAATCCTGAAAACTAAATAAGCGTATAAATGATATAATTATATATATTTCGGAATTTGATAAATAGGGGCAGATTTTTTGGGATTTAATCACTGCAATTTATTTAATTTCTAATCACAATTAACAAACTACCATATTAAATCGGGTTTTTCAAATTTCAAATTTGAAGAACCGATTTTTCATATTATTTTGAAATCTTTTATTAATTTTAATTGATTGGTTGCATATTTTGAATGCAGGTTTTTCCGGATTTTTGGGGATTTATTGCAATTGCAACTCGATCTTTTGATTTCAGTATCTTAAAGGACATTTACTTAATAGGGTTTCATAAAAAAAGTGGGAAAACTTATTGGTTGGGGTCTAAGAGACTGACACGTGGCATGATTGTACTTATTTATTATAATAGGGGATTATAAATTAATTTCTTAAACAAAATAAATATAATAGTGATATTATGATATGATATTGTATTTTCAAAATTTGAAAATTTGATTTATTACAAAATGATAATAATAATAATAAAAATCATAGAAATATATCGCAAGTTAAAAAGACATTCTAAAAAACTAACACGTATCATTATTAGGTTTCATTTATTAGAGGAGGTAGATATATAGTATTTTTTTTGCATATCCTCTTTTTCAATTAATATCTTTTGGTATCTTAATTTTTTGGTTTTGTAAGTTTCCATGTGATAGTTCATTATAAAATGCATGAACCTTACGACTCTAAAAAATATATATGTAAAACCAATAGAAATACATAACAAAAAAATACTTTAAGATAGCTTTTTTTTTTTGACTTTATAAAAATTAAAATCACACACACATGCTCGCGCGCGCACACACACACACATATATATATATATATATATATATATATATATATAGAGAGAGAGAGAGAGAATAGTTAGGTTCATATATAAATCACAATTATTATATGAATGTAAGATTAAATATGGTTCAATCATTTAAAAAAATGCATTATAATAATTTAATTAATTAAATTAATTATTATCCAAATTAAATATCTATAATTTAGGCAACTAATCAATATTTTCAATTCAAAATCTATTATTTTAGGTCGCCTAACCCATAATTATTACAATATTATAATCGATATCAATCCCTACTTTCACCGTTATAGAACCTCATCAACATGTGACTCATTCCTTTGAAGTTATCATTCATATTCTTTTTTTTAACAACTATGGTATCATCCATATTAAAGGCTATCAATATCATAAACAAAGATTGAGATTTCACATGCTACATTTGTGTTAAAAAATAGGTTACATGTCTACTTAATACTAATTCATTAAAAAAATGTAACGCCTCGACTCTCAGGTATTAATTTTACAGCTTTATTTTTTCATATTGAAAGGTCTACTCAATGAGTTGGATGCCCTAACTCGTCGAGTAGGAATGTTTATGGCCACGTGTTTAAATGACCAACTCGACGAGTCGGAGGACACGACTCGACGAGTTGGAGCTGAAGGATGAAACCTTAATTTTAAGGGATTTGCACCCTATTTAAAGGATCCTTTGCCTCCTTAGCCTCCCCTTACAGCCCCTTGTGAGTCCATAAACCATAATTCGCGTCTGTGCTCCATTCTTGTGTGATTTTCAAGCTTGGAAGGTGAATTGCAAGGGGAAGACTTAAAGTATAAGGGGAGTAGTGCAAGAGGAGCTAGTGAATCTGACTTTTTTTGCTTCTTGACATCAGTTTGAAGGTAACAACTCGTTACCTTGACCTTTCTTCTAGATCTCATTATATTGAAGATTAGGGCTTTTCTAGCATATATATTAGCCATTTTTGGGCATGGGCTAGGATATGAAGTTGCAACTTCAGATCTGAGCTTACCTTGGTCTCTATAGCTATTAAGTCTCCAGCTTTAGCAAGTATGAACCTTCCCTTTTGAGTTAAATCCAATTATAAGCTTGGATTTTACATTCTAAGCCTTTAGAGCCTTGGATACACATAAAGTTTGCAACTTTACGTGATAAACATGCCTTGGGAAGCTTGATCTGCAATATGGAGCTTTGGAGTGGCTTAAAAATCGTCTAGATTGAGAAAGGACTGAAGGGACTCGACGAGTTGCATGGCCAACTCGGTGAGTCCAATGAAGGTTGTCGTGCAAGGATTTCTGCATGGACTTGGCGAGTCTGCTAGGGTTTCCCGACATTTGGACATGCATGAACTCGACGAGTTCCAAGGAAACTCGAAGAGTTAATTCTCAAGTTAAAGAAGGACTCGACGAGTCGGTGAACTGCACTGGATGAGTCAGGTCAACATGGACTGTTGACCTTGACCATTAACTTGGACTTTAACCAAGGGTTGACTAGTTGACTTCGGGGTATTTTGGTAAATTGGAAATTTATGGAAA